GAAAGAGAGAGCAGTTAATGCCAGGGCATTCTCACATCTTCCAAAGAAATGGCATAGGTGTTAATCTTGTATTTATGTTTGATGTGGGTAATGATGGCTGTGACTGGAGCTGTAGGTTTATTAATATGCAGGGCTCTCACCTCATTAGTGGCGATGTATGTTTTGAAGTTAAGCTGCAATGTTTGCTGTAATGTCAGATCTGGCCTAACAGACTTTCTCACTGTTCATTTTCTTTGTTTTTACTCAGTCAGTACATGCTATGCTCACAGGGCTCACACGAATGCTTTTTAATAAAGACAATTTTTCCACAGTAGTTAATCTTGGTGGAAGTTTCAAACAGGTTTTTTTTTTTTTTGCGGTACGCGGGCCTCTCACTGTTGTGGCCTCTCCCGTTGCGGAGCACAGGCTCCGGACGCGCAGGCTCAGCGGCCATGGCTCACGGGCCCAGCCACTCCGCGGCATGTGGGATCTTGCCGGACTGGGGCACGAACCCGTGTCCCCTGCATCGGCAGGCGGACTCTCAACCACTGCGCCACCAGGGAAGCCCTCAAACAGTTTTAATAATTATTTCCTCATGTGATACCACATGTTTATCCTGAAGAAAAGATTTTCATAATTTTTCACCTAGTAATACAAAGTATAATAAACTCTCTCCCTGTCTTGATTTGGGAGTGAGGTATTCTTATTAACAGGATAAAGTAGTTAATTCTAATAATAGTTATTATATAATTAAAACATACCTGCATTACTAATATTTGATAGTTTATAAAGCACTTTCACATCTATCATCTCAACCAGATCTTAAAAAAACAAAATAAACAAAAGTAAAACCTGGTTGAATATATCACTTGATGATCCACTATGAATGGCAACTGATATACTTCAATTCCTAAAAAAATTTACAGTTTACATAATACACAAATAAACTAACCTGTACCAGACTAACAAGCTTCATGGGATAGATGGGTGGTCTGTTGCTGCTTGTTGCTCAGACTTCACTCTGCTCTACAGTCCTCATGGGGTTTCCACTATAGGAAAGACTCGATTTTCAACAGCTTGTCTGGAAGTCATTAACTAAATTTTATAAATTCCACTATATATATATATATATATACACACACACACCTATATATACACATATATATACACATGTATACATATATACACATATATATACCTATATATACACACATATATGTACACACACACACACACACACACACACCACACATATATTTACAGCTACAAATCCAGGACCACTGTACTTCAAGGAAGCCATTTAAATGTGAGAAACAGTTTATCCTCTTTTCTCATTAGATAACTGAATATATATCCATTTCTTAATATTTTAAAATTTGTGTTCATAAGTACAAGACCCTCGTCTTTAGGGGCGGCATTTGGTAGGGAAGAAAATGACAGAGGAGAACACAGGTACTTAGACCGAGACAAAGGAGAAGGAGGCTTAGATCACTCATTAATGCTTCTCTTTCACCATCTTTTCACTCTGTCTTCTCACAGCTCCTGTACCGGGCTCCCCCTCCTGCAGAAGGACCACTGTCTTTGATTTGACAACGTGACACATATTCAGCTAGGACTCCCATCATCATTCAAGGAAGCAAAAATGAGGATATGTGCTTTTAAGAAGGTACAGCAATAAGCTTACATATCAAAAGTCTATAAACAAGTATATTACCTATTTAATTGCCTTAGCTGAACTTAGAAGCTCTGATCTTTAATTGAACTGATCTAAAAAGCTACAATTTTTTAATCAAGGACAAAATTAAATAGCTTTTTGGTAAATAAAAAAATGAAATCCAAGTTATTCAATATAGACAAAACCTCTAAAATATTAAGTTAACAACTACTCAATCTAGAGTAAATTTCTCATGACAAAGCTTTACAAAATTCTTCAGGGACACCTGGCTTCTTCTACTCGTCAATAAAAACACGTACTTTTAAATCTGGAAGGTAAAAGTTTCCACAAATAACAAGGAAACTCAAAAGCTAACCATATATGTTTAATGAGGTATACTACCACAGCATACTATTTTTATAGCTGAGTACCCATAACTACTGGGGAATAACTGTTCATTTGCACTGTAATTCATTAGTCTTTCCATCTAGACAGATGCAGATGCACATTCACTTACTGGTACTTATTTAAAACTGAACATATACACACTATTATATACAAAATAGATAACCAACAAGGACCTACTGTATAGCATAAGGAACTATACTCAATATTTTGTAATAACCTATAAGGGAAAAGAATCTATATATATGTATAAATGAATCACTTTGCTGTACCTAACACAACACTGTATGCCTGAAACTAATACAACATTGTAAATCAATACTTTAAATAAATAAATTTAAAAAACTGAAATCCCTTGAGAGGGTTAGCTGGCCCACTACCACTATCCCCACTCAGCCTCTCGCAGATATCTTCATTCCATAACCAGTGGCATTTTATAGTGGTTATTACTCTGTGGGAACTGGACTGGCCAGCACAGACTAAAAAGAGAAGCACAGGTTTAGGATTCCTTTTTGAAACCTCTATGTCCAAAATCAGTCAAACCACTAAGGTCCTCATACGTCACTGATCAAAGAACGCTTCTTAGCCCAAACTGCAACCACAGCTGGGGAGAAGGACCTACCTACCTCTGAGAGGCTCTGGTCAACCACACTTGCGCACAGTGATTATAGGGTGGTTGTACAGGACTCTGACGAACACTTTAGACTTTATTTTTAGATCCAGACATAAATCCATTTGAAACATGTCCATCAAGATGCCATTTTGAATGAAAAATTCAATTATTCCTCCAGATGAAGAGTAAAACTAAAACCAATGATTTTAAAGAAGAAAAACAAAGATGACTGCAGAATAACTGAATAGTATTTTCCTATCTACTATAGTTCTTAGTGCTACTAAGAGTCCTCAGAGAAAGTTATGGCTAGTGAGAATTTCTTATAAACCAGAATTATGCTGTGTGCCCAGAGTACAGGATGAGCATAAGGATCTCTTTAATAATAATATTTGCAGGACTTCCCTGGTGGTCCAGTGGTTAAGAATCCGCCTGCCAATGCAGGGGACATGGGTTCGAGCCCTGGTCCAGGAAGATCCCACATGCTGTGGAGCAACTAAGCCCGTGTGCCGCAACTACTGAGCCTGCGCTCTAGAGCCCACGAGCCACAACTACTGAGCCCAGGTGCCACAACTACTGGAGCCTGCACACATAGAGCCCATACTCTGCAACAAGAGAAGCCACCACAGTGAGAAGCCCATGCACCGCAACTAGAGAAAGCCCATACACAGCAACAAAAACCCAACGCAGCCAAAAATAAATAAATTAATTAATTTAAAAAAATAACATTTGAATTTCCATGGCAAGGTCCTTTTAATGAAGGCTTTGCTACTGAGCATCGATGACTTCCTTGAGTTCCTTTGTCAAATGGATAGCAGATGTCCATAAAAATCAATAAAATGACAAGAATTGATCACTGTGTTAATTCCTATTAAAATGGCTATAACCACTTTATGGGTTGGTGAGTGTGGGGAGGTGGGAGTACAGGGAAGCACTATAAGTCATATTATGTTAGCAACCATTCTCTCTTAATCTTGGAGGAGAAAATGCTCCATTTTTTCTCACCCACCAGATGTATTCACATGCTTATTTATTCCCAGGAAGAATAATACACACGCAGCTCACTCTCCCTACATCTACATTGTGTACCAACTATATACTCTAGAAATAGAGTGGACTGGCTTTAAAGAAAAACTTGGTTTATGATTCCATTTAATCAGCATAAACACCTTCAAGAACTGAATTGAAAGTTCTGCTTGCCAAAATCTACATACCCTTTTCAAAAGAGGAAGGAAGATTTAAGCACAAATTTGGAATCACTAGGATATTAAAACCACCACAAAAAAAAAAAACCCTTAGTGACAGATGTGATACTACAATTAAAAAAAAAACACAAAACTTTCATCACATCTGTGTATGTTGTTGCATCCTCCAAATGTGCATAAAGCTAGGCTGAGCAGAGGTGTAAAATTAAACAGTAGTTAGTAACATTAGGCCAACTTCCAAATGAATTCAGACATTTTGGGAATATTAAAAAATGCAAAGGGAGGTTCCTTTTGCAACATTCAACAGTTATCTGATTATTCTTCTCATGTGTTCTGTTAATAGACTAGGAGACTAATTGCTGATGCACTTACCAATCCCTTATTTAAAGTTTCACTTTCAAGGTATGTAAAGCAGTCTCTTAAGCAACAATGCATGAGGATATTTGAAATGTTAATAAAAGGAAGGGATGCAATTGTATAGACAGTGAAGGTTTTGCAATTAACTAGAATTAAGAAAAATAAGATCCTGTCATTGCCAAATACTATGAAAAACACCGTTTTACATGTTTGGTAAACATTATTCATAAAAATACAATACCAAGTTTATAATCTAAATCAGAGTAGTTAAGGAAGAAAAAAATTTTTAAGTAACATTTATAAAGCAGCCATCTTACTGACTACCAAATATATTATCTGGCTTAAATATTAGATCATTTATTCACTTTAAAAATCAAGGTATAGGGAGAGCTCCCCACCCTACCCCAAATTAAGTCAGAGCTTGTAAGCCAGTACATACCTCTATGTAAAATCTTTAAACTCCACAAATAAGTAAGGCCTTTAACGACCTAAATTGAGAAAGAGAAAACAGGATAATGATGGTTTTTATACGGAACTTTCCACGTTTAAACACATAATCATATCAGCCGTAATTTCTTCCTTCCAAAGTCTGTTAACCAACACGCATTTATTGAACACCTCCCATTTCTGTGTCAGGCGCTGTGGGGACACCGAATGTATAAGCTACAGGTTCCTTCCTTTAATGAGCTCACAGTGTTTTGAAGATAAGGTACGATGAATGAAAGAAATGGATATGTGTGCACATAATATGACCTGGAAGTCCACTGACGAAGTTCTCAGTGGTGGTGTGGGCAAAAAGGAGGGACAGGAAAAAGGGACAAAGATTTTCACTTATTTTCTATACTTCTGTACATGAAAAGAAAAATTTTTTAAGTCGTGACATTTATAACCAAGGAGAGACATTTTTTTAAAAACTTAACTAATGAGGGCAATGGGTGGACTAAAGCCTGCTTCCCCTGACAGTAGTCAGGAAGGCTTTACCGAAGTGCCAGGCCCTGAGTAACAGATTCAACTGATGTGAAGAAAAGTGAAAAAAAGCATTCAAGCCAAGGTAAAAATATATGATCAGAGTGTTGGGGCAGTGCATTCTTCAAAAATATCGAGGAAGACAAACACTGAGACACTGTTCTAGATTAACAGAGACTAAACAGACATGACAACTAAATGCAACGTATAATCCAAGACTGGATGCTGGACTAGAAATTTTTTTCTTTTGGTCTATAAAGGGTATTATTGGACAACTGGCAAAATCTGAATAAGGACTGTTTGATTAGATAATAATGATGTATCAATGCTAATTTTCTAATTTTGATCCATATACAGTGATGATGTAAGAGAATGTCCTTGTTCTTAGGAAATACACACCTGGAGTAATTAGGAGTAAAGGGTCATGATATTTGCAACTAATTCTCAAATGTTTCAGGAAAAAAATCTGTACATATATATTTAATCAAATATGGTTAATTGTTAACAATTGGGAAATCTGGGTGAAGCATCTTTGGGAATTCTTAGTATTACTCTCACCAGTTTTCTGGAAGTTTAAAATAATTTCAAAATAAAAAGTTTCCCCCCAAATATTTTAAATGATTTTAGGGTAGGAAACAACAAAGTATATCAAGATGATGATCCTCACAAGCCAGTCTGACTGATGCAAGTATGTGTGGAATCATGTAGACAATATTGAAAGGGCAAGTAAAAGAAATAAAATGAGAAAATACAAACATCTGAGTTAGATTTTAGATTTTTTTAATTTAACAGACTGAGTTAAGAGTAATTAGTCCAATAAGGTACTGAAGAGAAGATGTTTCCAAGACCCTAAGTACATGGGTTATAAGTGCTACCTTCTGTGTAGGAAAATTAATCATTAAAAGCTTTAAAAATCTTTATATAGAAATAGCTGTAAAAGGAGGTGCATATGTTTTTATTCATACCCACTGACCCTGTATGCACACAAGTGTGAACTTACCAATTTCAAGGTTGACTATTCATAATTAGGTATCAGATACAATGAACACACCACTATTATTAAAAATTTAGAGCAGAAGTTAACATATTTTAATTGTTCTCACTGAGTGGAATGTACTCCTGAAAAATTTGCTAACACATTATAATCAATTCTGTGATATATTTTTCTATTTTAAGAGAACAGAATACATATCTATAGCAAATGATTTCTTCCAGGATTCAGACTAAGTGGCATTACAATAAAACACATGCACTCTGAACAGTAAGATAGTAAAAACAGAAAATAGGAAAATAGGAATAACTAACACAGAAGGAAGAAATAAGACAAAAATATTCCCTTAAATGCATATAAAAATAACATCAATAATAAAAACAATTTTTTCTTTGAGTAGTAGGACAACATCATCTTATTTAGCTTGAAGTAATCACCCTCTGAGCTCTGGAAATAGGGTTAAAGTTCTCAACTTATAAGCTTAGTTGCATATTTTAAAGCTCTCCCATTAAATATAACTCACCACTGAAAATTAGTCCCACAGAAAATGAATAATCAGAAAACACACAGGGGAAGGCAATCCACCATATTCAGATTATCAGGCAGAGAAAAAGTAAAACAAATACTTGATTTTATGATACTTGCTAAATTTATAAGTTTTGTTGGACATTCAAAAAGAAAATATTATTCTTCCAACTTTATCAAAATAGACTACATTTTCCTTTAGAAGAAGAATAAATGCATGGGGAGCCAGAAATCTGTCCACTGAAAATCTAGAGGGTATTATTGGTATTCAGTAAGCTAGGTTTCACAACGACTTGACAAAGCCTTGACACTAAAAGTACTTATATCTGCTGTCAGTCACTCACTCCTTGACATGTCAAGTGCACAGCCTTTCAGGGACAACTTCAATCAACATTAGCACTCAAAATACAGTACACAGTGTCACTGCTTCAGAAATGAGAGGAAAAATAAAATGTGTTAGATGGCAGGGAAAGGGAGAAAGGCATTCCTCTTTATAGGAGGCCAGATTCCAGTGGAAAGTAATAAAAATCACTGAGCAAGCTGTAAGGCTGAAATCAACCAGTTTATATGGATTTCTTTTTCTGGGAAAATATTCTCTTGCCATACAACCACCAAGAGAAAATTTGAACAACATTATCATAAAGGCTGACAGGGGTCTATCCTGTAATGAATGTTGGATCTGTGGACCTGTATAGCATGCCAGACTAATAGAACCTGGAAAATAAAGTTACTTGGGGGAGGAAGAGATGCCTAGATGTGGTTCTAAGACATGAAAAGAATCTGAAGCAGTTGTATGTGTTACTCTAGTATTCTCCCATTCATACTCCTCTTTTTTACTTTTAAACCTCATTCTCCCTTTCATTTCTTCCTCTTCTTTTTTCTCATTTTCTTAGGAAACCAGACTGAAAGAGCATGGGGCCTGGAGTCAAACTGCCCTGGGTTCTAATTATTACTGACTAGCTACATGATACCTCTAGGCAAGCTGTTTAACTTTTCTACACCTCATCTTGCACTTGTGTAAAATATGTACAATCATCTATAGAGTTACTGTGAAGGGTAAATGACATAATATTTGTACATAAAACATTTATCAATGATTTTCATAAAGAAGTACTCAATATACACCTATTTTCCTCCTCTCTCCTGATTCTGTTCCTTCTGACTTGGTAAAAGAACCCATGTGCTTCCTTGGCCTCCCTGAGGGAACTCAAGGGAATGATGTTGATACTGTCTTCAGAACACTAGAGGAGTGATGGCCAAGGATACCGGGAACCCAATCAGGCTGTGAGAACATTTACTTTACAAATCATGTCCTACAAACCATCACTTTGCTAGTTTTATTCTGATTGGTAGAACCCTTCCACTGGTGTTTGTTAGCTGCAACAAAGGATTAACCAACTTTGTAGTCTACTAAAATTTCATTAAAAAAACACACTTTGGAAGTATTATACAAGCTTAGGCCCTAGCAGAGTTTATAAAACGTGGCAGATGAAGAGTAAAATTATCAAAAGCATTTTTTTTAAAACTCCTGACTAGAATATTCATATCTAATCACTATGCAATTTTATTAATTATTTTTTTAATTTTTGCTGTGTTGGGTCTTCGTTTCTGTGCGAGGGCTTTCTCTAGTTGTGGCAAGTGGGGGCCACTCTTCATCGTGGTGCACGGGCCTCTCACTATCACGGCCTCTCCCATTGCAGAGCACAGGCTCCAGACGCGCAGGCTCAGTAGTTGTGGGTCACGGGCCTAGTCGCTCCGCGGCACGCGGGATCCTCCCAGACCAGGGCTCGAACCCGTGTGCCCTGCATTAGCAGGCAGATTCTCAACCACTGCGCCAGCAGGGAAGCCCAAAAGCATTTTTTTTTTTTACTCTGGCCACAGGCAATTTTCATTACTATGACCTGATAAGCCATAAAAGCTGGTGAAATTGGACACATTTTAGAAACAAAAACAGCCTCATGTTTTAAAATGTAAGGGTTAAATACAAACAATGCTTTGGCTAGCACTTATTTCAAATGCCTTTCACTAAAATCACTGTCATATTTTCAATTAGGTAAGCCCTGCACTGAAGCTGGATTTTTTTTTTTTTTTTGCTGACTCCATTCACTTCACAGGCTTCCCACTCGAGTAGAATTGAAAAGACCGATGGCCTTGTGTGGCTGCCCTACACAAGAGGGAGGCAAGATTTATGAAATCCAGGAAGAACAAGCTTCTCTACTGAAGAAGGCAGATTCCTATTTTGGCCAAGTTTGATAGATAATTGAGTAAAGAACTCATACACTTTTTGCTTTTTCAATTAGTATTCCTCCTTTTTTTTTTTGCCCTTTAATATACGTGTTTTTAAACTTTAGAGCTAAGAAATGCCAAAAGCCACAAAGCATTCATTCCCCCCTGAGATTAAAAGAGGAAAAGAAACATTTTTATTTTCATCTAAAATAGTGCTTTAAGTAGTCAAATTTCATACTCATCTACCTAAACATGTAGATTAGAAGCTACTTAGCAGCAATAGCATCAGGAAAGAAAGTTCTCATCACCCTAGGCAGTTCTCACTAATAATTAGAAAGAAAAAAGGAAAGCTGTGAATTACAATGAACTAAGATTAAGTGTCCATGTTGGATTAAAGGATCTGTGTTGTCAGTCTGATGTATAATGAATGTGAAAATCAGCCATTTAATTAAATGGTACATGGTATAATCACTTTGTTCTGCACTAAACTGCTTAAGTTACCAGAACGCCTTTAGTTTAGCAACTGTTTACTATTACACCACCCACGACTTCTCTTAGACACTGTTTAGCCTATGTTATTCCAAATTTGAAATCTGGAGTTTATATAGTAATGTTAATTTAGTTGATATAGTTCATCGGTTTAAATTAGTGAATATAGAAAAGAGGAAATCACAAAGGTAAAAATTCCAGATATATGTGGTGAAAAAATTCAAAACCAAGTACATAAAAAGTCTGCAAAAATCTTTAAGACTAAAGTACTATTTTCTTATAGATGGTTTTATTTTAATAATTTAGGCTTTAAAAGTATTTTCTAATCATATGCCTATAACTACAAAATGTCCCTAAAACAGCTTTCTTTCCAAAGAACGTGGAAATTTTACTGGTTAACAAGAATAGTAAGGTCCCTGCAAATACATAAAACTAGAACAGGTCAGAATATGCAAGAAATTCCCTGGCAGTCCAGTGGTTAGGACCTGGCCCTTTCACTGACAGGGCCCAGGTTTGATCCCTGGTCAGGGAACTAAGATCCTGCAAGCCACACGGCGTGGCCAAAAACAAGAATATCCATAAGCCTGAAAACTGTCATGTGTTTATGTCATTATTGTAGGTTGGTCTATGAAAAGAAGAAAGGACAAAAATGATAAGAGAGTTAAGAAGGCCCTGGCAGTCAGCATGGATTGAAGGAAAAGAAAAAAAAAAATCCTGAGGATATAAAGAGAATAATGTTTGACTATAGAGATTAAATCACCCAAATTTCATAGAGTTGAAGCCATATACTCACCGCCACTGCAATTCTTCCAAGGACATGCTCTGGAATTTTTCTATATACATCCAAAGATCCCCCTGTAGAAACAAACATGTTGTGTTACAACAAATGAAACTACTAGAAAAGTGCACTGAGCCCCTCCTCTGTGGATCCATTGTGAGACTTCTTTTTCTCTACTGACATCATGCATTGGACGTCTAGGGTAAAATTAGCTTTTTAGTCCAGTTTTATCAATATTTATGACATAATCATACTTCCAGATGAAGCATAACTAGATACTTTCATTTTATTCTCAAGTGTATAATCGTACACATGTAAAAACTGAAGGAAAGTAGTGAAGGACACGCTAAGAATCTGTACTTTATGTAAACTTAAATACATACACAAAACTAAAGGTCAATAGGACAATCATATCTAGGCATCTAGCTTGTGTTAACAGTTTTCTCAAAGGTAAACCAGGACCCTATCTTAGAATTTTCATATTAACCAAACAAAAGCTGGTACATATAAAATTCAAAATACACATAAAAACTAATAAAGTAAAATAGCTATGTTAACATCTATCTAAATGAATGTTACCCTTCAAATTAGGTACCATGACAAGCAATCAACATATTCCAAAGATACTATCTTAGAACAAAATTTTTTTTTCTTTTTTGGAAATTCTCTTTGATACAATTTTGAAAACGACTTTATGAGGTTAAAAAAAACTCCTTATGTCGTAACATTTTTTTCACTAAAATGGTATTCACTAACATCCTTCACCTTTACCAAATTCAGCTTTTGGTGGTTTCCAAACAACAAAATCACTAGATTGTGAACACGATAAAGGCAGGGGTCATGTTGTTTGTTTTTAATTTTCATCAACCTAGAAATCAGCACAACTAACAGAGAGTACGTATTCAATAAGTATCTGTCAGATGAATAAATAAATTTAAATCGCCATGAATTTTACCAGCTAGGTTAAGTTGCTCTGAAAACAGTTTCAAAAGAAGGAACTGCAAACCATTTGCAGCAACAATAACATCATTAAAATAATGGCATAACTTTCCCAGGAAACTATTTCAAAGGAACCAGTATTCATTTGGAAGTATAAATTTGAGTATGCTTGTTAAATTTTTAATCTTATACAAGTAGTATAAGAATTTCAGGAAGATATGCAAAGAACCACTACTTTACTCATATTAATGATATGATTATATGAGAACTATTTTAACCACATAATAACCTTTCTTTGAGTCAAGGTGAGGTGTACAGTCTTTCAGTTCCATAAAGGAATTATCCAATATATTTGAGAAACAATTTTTGTTTCTATCAGAGGCTAAAAATTCATATTTAACAATTTTACCACTGGATGCTTTATAAGTATGCCTCGTAAGATGTTAACATGGAGCATATTATCCTTTTCAAATGCAGTTAAGTCTATTTTGCAAATATAAGTATTTTTATGTCAAATTTTCCTAAAGCTGAACAGAGAAAAATTATTTTTCCCTGTAAAAAATATTATATCAATATATATTCCATATATATAAAGATACTGGCTTTGTATTTATCTTGTTTAAAGCAGGAAAATGATCACTTCTTTCATTAACTTTGGCTTGTAGTTTCCAGATTCTGACAAGAAGCTGGAAAACCAGTGTTAGTAAACATTATGCTTTGGTTCTGGGTGCTACCAGGAAGAGAATGAAAAAATGACACTTCTGCAATGAGGTGAGCCATCTTTATTTACTAAAATGGCATTTTTATTATAGATGCAAGAAAAGTGAAAACACGGTAGAAAAAGCATTTCATGTTCTCATCGATCTTTCAGATGAACTGGCAGTTGCAAGGATGAACAGTCTCAAGAAGATCAAGCTTTACATGTTGGTATTTGGAATCCTGAGAAATGTAGTTTAGTGGGCAAATCCCTTATGAAGTGAACAGCTTGAGTGGCTCAAAACCAGGAGGTGCAAATCTATTCACATACACTACTAAGAAGTGCTAAGAGAAGATTTATTTTTACATAGGATATAAATCAGGGCTTAATTAGCTAAATGGATAGTAGTCAACAAGCTAAATCAAAAAACCAAAGATTATATTACCACCATTATTAGTGGAACAAGCCAAAAAAGAATCCCATTTTGAGGTAATTCACTGATTTTTCTAAATATCTACTTAATCTCAGTTATATCTCACTCTCCTTAGCTATCCATATAGGTAAATCTTTACATAGCTGGCTTTGTGTCATCACAGATTCATCCCGTCCTTGACATAATCATTAGAGAGAGAGACTGTCAGAGGCAAAAAAAAAATTGTGGCAGATCCACTTAGAATCAATAGTTCCTACTAAGCCGGATGAGTTTTCATGCAATTAAAATAACTCTTACCAGGCTAAAAATGGCAGAGGGTTTTCAGTTGAATTTTTACTGAGTTTTACTATCATTTCTATCCCATAGGCCTAGGCAATCTTTAGACTCATCAAATCATCAAACATTAGGGCTGGAGGGACCTTAAAGATCAGCCCAATGACTTTATTTGACTGAGGAGGGAAACTGAGTCCAGAGAGGTAGGTATTCTAGTCACAGCCATGAGTCAGTTGATGCCAGAACTCAGAAAAGATCTGAACCTTTGAACTGCAAAGATCTAAAAGGTTTCCCCATAACATCACATAGCTTGAGAATCACACATGAACTTTCTAGTCTCACTGCAATGTGATATTACTATATGACACATACTCAGAGAGACAGTTTAATCTTAGCTGAGGCACTGGTATTCAAGGCATATAGATACTCGTTTATCTGTTGAATGGTTGCTTTGAACCTTCTCACGATTCCAAAGTGACTGGTTTACTCTCTGTGACCTGTCACTTCCTCAGGTTCCCTGGCCTTAGATCATCCCTAGCCAGTCATTTCCTTGCATGCCACTATCCACCACGGGAAGCGGGAGGAAGAGTGCTAACAGAATAGCAAAAAATCCACGTCAACTGCCAAACAACTACACATTTCTGTTGATAAACTGGGGCTATCATCTTCATGAAATCAAGCCAAAAGAACTCATGGTGGCACAGTGGTTGAGAGTCTGCCTGCCGATGCAGGGGACACGGGTTCGTGCCCCGGTCCGGGAAGATCCCACATGCCGCAGAGCGGCTGGGCCCGTGAGCCATGGCCGCTGAGCCTGCGCGTCCGGAGCCTGTGCTC